AGAATACACTATCTTCTTAAGTGCACAGAATATTTACCAAGAAATACTCTATTCAATAAATTTTAAAGGATTCCAGTCAAACAATGTTATCTAACCACAAGATAAATAAATTACAAATAACAGGATCTAAATATTTATAAACTAAATAAGACAAATCTAAGTAACCCATAATTCACAAAAATCAAAAGATAAATTAGCTAATATTCCAAACTAAATAAAAATAAAAATACAACATAGAATTTGTGGAATGTCACTAAAGCAGTACTTAGGGAAGATTTTACACCACTAAATGACTTTATCAGAAAAGAAAGGTAAGGGCTCAAATCAATGACTTCACATACCACACTAGGAAACTAAAAGAATAAACGTAATGTAATTAAATTATATTAAATGTAATGTAAACCAAAAAATAAGGGTCAAAGCTGAAGTTAATGAATTATAAAACAGCAAAACAACAACAAAAAAACAAAACAAAAAGCTCATGCTTTGTATAAAAAATATATATTATATAAAACATGTCAATAAATTTAACGTAGATTAAGCAATTTCTTTGAAAAACACAATAGTACCAAAGCTCACTCAAAAAAAAATAAAAAGCACAAATAGCTCTGTATCTACTTGAAAAACTGAAACTTTGATTATAAAGGCTTCCTACAAAAAAATAAAAATAAAAAACACTACAGTCTTACTTCATTGATAATTTCTAACACTGATAGTAAGGAAATACACCAGTTTTACACAAACTCTTCCAAACTCCTCCAAAAATATAAGAGAAGACTTCACAACTCCTTCCCATGGGGCCTGCATTACCCTCATACCAAAAACAAACAAACACAAAAAGACATTAGGGAAAACAGTATTTCTCATGACCACAGATGCAAAAATTCTGAACAAAATTTTTAGCAAACAAAATCAGCAATAGATTAAAGGATAACACATCATGACCAAGTGGCATTTATCCCAGGAATGCTGAGCTGGTTTACCATTCAAAATTCCATCAATGTAATTCATCAATGTAACAAACTATTTTTTTTAAAACCATATGACCATCTCAACAGACAGCAGAAAAAGCATTTGACAAAAAATCCAATATCCGCCCTGGCCGGGTAGCTCAGCAAGTTAGTGTCATCCCAATACCCTAAGGTTGTGGGTTCAATCCTCGGTCAGGGCACACATAAGAATCAACCAATGAATGCATAAATAATGAAACAACAAATTAATGTTTCTCTCTTTCTCTCTCTCCCCTCCCTTTCCCCTCTCTCTCTAAAATCAATTTAAAAAATCTAACATCCATCCCTAATAAAAACTCTAAACAAAGCAGGAATAAAAGGGAATGACCTCAATCTAATAATGAGTATCTACACAAAACCAACAGCTATCATTGTACTAATTTATTTAAGGACTGAATGCTTTCCCTCTAAGACAAGAATGTTGCTTTCACCACTTCATCCACATTATATTGGAGTAGCCAGTGAAATCTGCACGGAAAACAGACATTCAGATTGGAAGGAAGAAATAAAACTGCCCTTTTACTCACAAACATGATCTCCTATGTGCAAAATCCAATGGAAACTAAAAAATAAAACAGAACTAATATTTGCAACTGCCAGGTTGTAGAATACAGTATCAATATACCAATATCAACTGTATTTCTATATACTAGGAACTAACAATTGAAATTTTAAAATACCATTTATGAAAAACTGGGATACAGCTTACCAAAGATGTAAAGACCTGTATATTAGAAACAACAAAATACTGCTGGCAGAAATTATAAAAGATCTTAGTGGAGAAATAAATTTGTTCATGGGTCAGATGGCTTAATATTGTTACCATGTCAAATCTCCCTCACATTGAACTACAGATTCAATTCTATCCCAATCAAAGTCCCAAAAGGCTTTTATGGGCAAATTGGCAATTTAGTTATAAAATTCATATGGAAATACAAAGAATTTAGAATATGCAAACAACTCTGCAAAAGAAAAGCAAAACAAAACTGGAGGACTAATACTACCCAATTTCAAGAATTACTGTAAAGCTATAAAATAAAAATAATGTGACACTGGCTTAAAGGCAGACAAAAGATCAATGGGACAGAAGAAAGGATCCAGAAATACACCCACGTATACATGGACAAATGATTTTTTTGACGAAAGACACAAAAGTAATAAGGTGAAGAACAGTCTTAAAACAAATATTTATAGGTAAACACTGGATTTATACCTGGTACCATATACAAAGATGAACTCAAAATGGACCACAGGCCTAAATGTAAATGGGGGGAAAATACGAGAAAATCTTTGCAACCTAGTGGTTAGTCGTTTTCTTAAGTGCAATACCAAAAGAACAATCCATAACGGAAAAAATGGCTAAACTAAACTTCATCAAAATTTAAAATTCTGCTCTTCAAAAGGTACTATTAAGAGAGGATTAAATCTGGGAGCAATTACCAAAGAAGTGAAATATCGGTACAATAAAAACTGTAAGACGTTAATAAATGGAAAGATATCCCACGCTCATGGGTTAGAAGAACTAATACTGTTAAATGTCTATAGTACCCAAAGCAGTTTACAGGTTCATTGCAATTTCCATCAAAATTCCAATGGCATATTTCATGGAAATAGAAAAAAAATCCTAAAATTTGTATGGAGTTACAAAAGATCCTGAATAGCCAAAGTAGTCTTGAGAAAGAAGAACAAAGCTGAAGACATCACATCTTAGAAAAAAATATTGCCACTATCACACTCTTCCTGATTCAAATTATAAAGCTATAATAATCAAAAATAGTATGATACTGGTATATAAATAGACATATAGATCAATGGAACAGAACAGGGAGCCCAAAAATAAACCCCTGCATATATAATCAATTAATTTATGACAAAAGAGCTAAGAATATACAATGGGGGAAGGAAAATGGTGCTAGGAAAACTGAACAACTACTTGCAAAAGACTGAAAATAAACCACTACGTAACAACATACACAAAATCAACTTAAAATGGATTAAAGACTTGAATGTAATAAAACTTAAAACCATAAATCTCCTATAAGAAAATACTGGGTTAGGACATGGATCTTGGCAGTGGTTTTTTAGATTTGACACCAAAAGCGGAAATAAACAAGTGGGACTACACCAAACCAAATGCTTCTGCACAGCAAAGGAAACTATCAACAAAATAAAAACACAACCTATCTAATGGGAGGAAATATTTATAAATAATATATCTGATAAGAGCTTAATACACAAAACATATTAAGAACACATACAACTGAATAGCAAAAAATAACCCAATTTTTAAAATGGGCAGAAAACTGAATAGATATTTGTTTCATGGAACTACAAATGGCCAATAACTATATGAAAAGATGCTCAACATCACTCATCATTAGGAAATACAAATCAGAACTACAATGAGATATCACCTCAAACCTGTTAGAATGACTAGCATCCAAAAGACAAGAGACAACAATTCTCAGTAAGGATGTGGAAAAAAGGAAAACCCTTGTGCACTATTGAGGGTAATGTAAATTTATGCAGCCATTATGGAAAACAGTATGGATGTTCCTCAAAAAATTAAAAATAGAACTACCATATGATCCAGAAATTCTACTTCTGGGAATATATCTGAAAGAAATGAAATCACTATCTTAGAAGAGATATCCTCACTCCTATGTTCATTGTAGCATTATTCAGTAGCCAAGAAATAGAAACAATCTAAGTGTCCATTGACAGATGAATGGATAAAGAAAATGCAGCATATATAGAATGTGACCATATCAAGCATTAGCAAGGATATGGAGTACTGACCTGTTACACATTGCTTGGTGGGAATATAAAATGGTATGTACAGTCGCTTTAGAAAAGTCTGGAAGTTTCTTAAAAAGTTAAACGTACACCTATCATATGACCCAGTCACTCCACTCTTAGGTATTTCCAAGAGAAAGGAAAGTATATGTCCACACAAGATCTTGTATACAGTTTTATGTGTAAAAGCCAAAAACTGGAAACAACCTATATGTCTGTCCATCAACAGGTGAATGGATACACAAAATGTGGTATATCCATACAATGAAATACTACCTTATCAAAAGAAATAAATTTTTGACACACACAACACAGATGAATCTTAAAATAATTATATTGAGTAAGAGAAGTCAAACATAAAAGAGTACACATAGTATAATTACATAGTAAAATTCCATTTATATGAAATTGCAGAAAATACAAACTAATCTATAGTAACACAAACCACGTTAAGTGGTTTCTTGTAGATGAGTGGACTGGAAGCGGTGTGAGAGAGCTATTACAAAGAGATATGACAAAATTTTAAGGATAATGGATATGCTCAGTATCGTGACTATGGTGGTGATTTAATGGATATGTACATATGTCAAAATTTATCAAACTGTACAATTTAAATATGTGCAGTTCACTGTATCTCAATTATACCTCACAATATCTCTCTTTAAAAAATCAACTAAGAAATATTACCTTTCCCTTTCAGCTCTAAAACAAAAACAGTATATTTTCTTTCCTTTCTACCCTTGATAATATTATTTCCAAAACATTACAGAGCTAAAAGGAATTACATCACATTCTCTACATTTTCAAAAGTGAACTCTCAGAATTTCAATGGTAGGCACAGATGTTAAGGTTGCCAAGATACAGATATACTGACAAGACTATTTCCCCCAACCACCTACTTCCACAACCCTATTACAGTTTTGCCCCTGCTATCGCCCTTTACGGGGGATATCTATATATACACATGACTCCAATCACTTCTCTATTTTGCATCACTATGACCTAAAAACACCCTTAGAAAAAAATGTTGCCACTATCTTCCACACTGCCATTTTTGCTGCCCCATCTTCCACTTTTCCTTGGTAATTTATGACATCTATACTTCAATTTAGTTTCATTTTCTCACATCTACCAGACTTTTATTTTTTATTTTTTAAAGACATGTTTAGGAGTAAGAAAAGTATTTCTACACACCTCAAGTACTGGTCCAGCTCCAAGAATAATTTGTTCTACTCCACTGGCAAATCCCTTCTGACTGAGAGCAGTAAGGTGGTGAATAAGAAAGTTTGTGCTTTGAGTCTTCCCAGAACCACTCTCTCCAGAAATCACAATGCACTGATTCTTTTTGCGCTGAAGCATGGTATGATAAGCTACATCAGCTACAGCATAAATGTGGGGCTCAAGTTTTCCCAATTGGTGATTATCATACATTTTGACATATTTGGGGTTATAAATAGGAAGAAACTTGAATGGGTTAATAACTATTAGAATACTGCCAACATAGGTATAAATTTTTTCATGCTTAAAGCGATTTCGTAGATTTTCTAAGAGAGTTTTCTCATTCAAATCAGGTAAGCTACATAAATCATCAAAGTCTTTCTGCTGAGGCTGTGGAAGAAAACCCCGTTCCATCATCCTGCGACGTTCTTCTGTTACCCGTAGCCATGACTGAAGACTACCATAATGGATTGATCCATCAAGATTTTTTTCTCTTAGAAGAAAGCGGTAGTCCTCTCCACATAGGCGATTTTCCAGAGCCATTCTGGGCCACAACATCATTCGTTGAACTGGACAGTCTGTTGGATTGAGTATCCATTCTTCTCCACCAAATTCCTTTACCTCTGCTAGAACATAACATTTTGTTTTGTCAAGATGAAGTCTGTTTATAAGAGAGTCAATCACCTCAGCAGCTGTGGAGTTTTTTCTGGCAGGAACTGGACAATAGATTGTCCCTTCTGAAATTGTCCCAGGATATATGTGTAATGTATGTTCATTATCCTCAAAGCGTCGTCTTCCTCCATCATTTATATTCATATTGAATCCTGTCCCATCAGCATGAATAGTACGTGTTCAAGGTTGTGCAAACCATTTTCGTGGCAAAAGAACTGTAACATAAAAATTGTAAAAAACTTAGAAGTCATATTATACAATCACTGCTTTTTGATGCTCAAAAAAGAAAGACTTAACAATCATGTTGATTACATTTTAAAACATAAAATCCTAACTCTTAGTATAGAAAGTCTTTTTTTTTTTAAAAAAAGATCTAATTAGCTGTATTGAGTGATTCATGAATTGGGCAACATCCCATCTAGGAACTAGAAGGGTGCTCAGGAGGAACAGTCTTAAAAATGATCTCATTGAAACCACACAATATTACATTTTATTGTCTAAATGTAGACACTTTCTAGAAAAGCAACTTGCCAAAATTGTTTCAATTTTATTATGTTAATAAATCAAAATCCAAGGAGTACAAATAAAAATTATTTTGTCTTCTACTATCTCAAATGTTTCTAAAGTACCTGAGATTAGAATCAGGTTCTTTCTTTATATCTGAAGAGCCTCTCTGAAGACTGATTAAGATGGACAGAAGAGCCTCTCTGAAGACTGATTAAGATGGACAGAAGAGCCTCTCTGAAGACTGATTAAGATGGACAGAAGAGCCTCTCTGAAGACTGATTAAGATGGACAGAAGAGCCTCTCTGAAGACTGATTAAGATGGACAGAAGAGCCTCTCTGAAGACTGATTAAGATGGACAGAAGAGCCTCTCTGAAGACTGATTAAGATGGACAGAATAATCACACAAATCTAATCACCCTGCACAGCAAAAACAAGAAAAAATGCCATTGATGGAGCAACTTTTGTGAAATTAAAAACAGTAAGATGATGAGATCAGAAAGAAATTAAGCTATTTTAATTTAATAATGAGCTAAGAAACACCTGCTAAAAAACATATTTTCAAAGACTTCTATACTTTTTTAAAAAATATATCTTTTATTGATTTCAGAGAGAGAAAGGGAGAGGGAGCTAGAAAGATAGCAACATCAATGATGAGAAAGTTGTCATTCATCAGCCGCCTCCTGCACACCCCCAACTGGGGATCGAGCATGCAACCCCGCCATATGCCCTGACCAGGAATCTAACCTCGATTTCCCGGATCCTAGGTCGATGCTCAAACTACTGAGCCACGCCCGGCTGGACAAGACTTCTATACTCTTGACTCTCTAACTTCCTTAAGGTGGAGAGGTGAAGGATGCAACAAAAAGATCCTGCCCTTGCCCTGCCAGTGTGCCTCAGTGGTTAAGAGTGTCGGCTTGCATACCTGGGTTACCGGTTCAATCCCTGGCCCCAGCGAGGGAGCATGTG